GAAGAGAGGCGAGCTAAGAGCTCCATGCCTCTGAGCTGCACTGGTTGGGATAAGGCAAGGAGAGAACACAGCGAATTGCAAAGAGACGCCCTACAGGGATCCCGGTAAGGAAGCGAGGCTTTTCCGCCCTGGCACCACACTGGTGTCTGCCTGCTTTAGGGATGCATGAAGGGCAAGCCCAGAAGCTCCCTGCCCAGGATGATCTCCTGTCTCCTAAACTGACTTCTGCCCAGCCAGGGGGACTGAACTTCCCAGGAATGATTTTCTATGCTAATAAAGAGAAATAGGCTTGAATTGATTCAAGGAGTTTCTAGATTTAAAAAAAAAAAAAAAAAGATATATGAGATCTCATCACTCCCTTTCCTCCCTTCATGCTCTCTGGGATTTTTGGGGTGAGACAGGCCCGAGTTTACGACAAGCAAAGTCTCTCAAGTGAACAGTCCCAGCTTAGTCAGGTGTCACATGTGGAAAGACAAAGTACAAGGAACCTATTCACAACCTCCCCAAAAGCTGTGTGAGCTCTCCCACAGCCCTGCCATGTCTATTGTAACCCCCGGGCAGCCTCGGCCTCCTCCGAGTTTGGAAATGCTGCAGCAGGATCCAAGAATTTTTTTCTTTTTTTTTACACGTGTGCAAAGCACCCCAAGCCCTTTGTTAGCTGTTGGTTTGGCTCAAAAGTGGTGCATGAGAACCGTGGCTTCTCCTGTGCGGTGGGATGTTGTCCCACATGCTGCAGACCCACGCTTGCAGAGAGGACGTGAAGGCCATTCCAGTCAAACCCATCTGACCATCTGGAGATGAAATCAGTGTTAAGGCAGTGAAGTATCCTCTCACCTGCCGGGGAAGCTTTGCTCCTGCTAACGTTTTCTTGCAGAAGGTACGTGTTCACAACCACCCTACTGGAGGGATGCGAGGTTGCCCACACCAAGAAACGCCTACACTTTGGGAAAGGGCTGCCTCCTAGTTAACCTTAATCCAGATCTACCTCTTAAGCCAGCGCAAACTCCTTCAGCCTAGCAAAGCTGACGCAGCTCCCTCCTGCCAACACCGGGCTATGGCCTCACATCTCCTGGCCACTTGCGTCAGGCAACGGTGTAGGAAACCATGGTAGGGACATTCACCGGCAGCTAGAAAGGGTGATTGAAAATTCAAGTATGCTTTCCTCAGTGCATGGCCCCAGGCAGGCATCAGGAACCCCAGACTGGCGCGAGGGTCGTGCAGATGTCATTGACATTCCCATTCGAGGGCTTTCTTTGCACCCCACCATCTTCCCAGCTGAATGGTCTGTCTGCGCTGGCACCGCCTGGCCAGGCAGAGCTCCACAGATACAGTGTGCATCTGTAAATGCTAAAAATAATAAAAAGTGCAACGACGTCAGCTTCTTTAAAACAATCCACATTGCTCTGTTACCGCCAGAGGAGGGAGGTGTCAAGGGAGCTGGAAAAAAAAACCTAACTGGAACAGTAGATTGCAAATTTCTCACAGCTTGCACATTACAGTGTTAACTGTTCCCCAGGAGCCAAAAAGGGAACCTGTCTCACTGCTGCAGCAGTCAGGCCCTTCTCCCACGCAACTCTCCTGCCCGCACCGCGTCCTCCTGCTCTCTCGACAGCCAATTGAGCCTATGGTATTTCTTTGCTTAATTAAGGAGGGAGGAGGACGGAGGAGCAGAGAGCGCAGGAGAGGGAGGGGAGGAAAGTGAGCAGGAACTAAGCACAGTCCTCAGGTTTGCGTGAACGATGCCTTCGCCGTAAACCACGGGAAGGAGGGTCAGCCAGCCAGCCCCCCCCCCAGGGTGACCAAGACCTGACCCAGCCACAGTCCTGGTCCCAAGAGGAGCTTCAGGCTTGGAGTGAACGAGGGAGACCCATTTAGCAGATCCACCCCAGAGTGGTTTGTTTTGGAACATTTTCTTCTCTTTTTGGTTTAAAATGTCACTTTTTGTTTTTGTTTTTTTGTTTTTTTTTCTCTCTTCCTCCTATGCCTCCTCCTCCCCCCTAAAGAGAAGCCCCTTCCAGTGAGACAGGGCAGGAGCTGCAGGCGCGGTGGTTCCTGCAAGGCCCAGGAGGCACCGGTCACTTGTGACGCTGAGCCGTCTTCTTCCGTTTCCTCTTAAAGAAGCAGCAGCACCTGGGGCACAAAGGACAAGGCAAGTTAGCCCCTCGCCCAGCACCCTGGGAAGGTCCCCTGCCACCCCAGCCTTCCCTCTGCTCACAGCCGCATGCAACAGCACCTCCACCTGCCCAGACAGACCTGCCGTCCCGTGGGACGCTCAGCAAGGTCGGCAGATGCTGGTGGATGGTTGATGCCACCAGCCCGGACTGGTAGACCAGCAAGTAACCACACACTGGGGGTCCCACTGCCCAAAGGCTGCAGGTGACAGCAGGGCGCAGCCCCTAAGCGCTGGGCTGTCTCCTTCCCAGGCTTGACTGGGGCAGGAACACAAGGATCCATCTGGGAAAGCAGTAAAACAAGGATCCAGATGTTCCGCTCCTTCTGTCCAAACCCCGGAGGAAGCGGACTGGGATGGTGAGCTCTGGCTGCTCCTCCCAGCTACGAGACCCACAGTTTTCACCACCATTCACAAAAAGACAATGTTCCAAACAGACCTCAGCTCAGGGACCAGGCTTCTTTACTGAACCTTTCATGATAACCAGAGCTTCCACCTTGGATAAATCATTCAGTGCTGGTATGCAGAACCCCTGCTTCTTCCCCCATCCGATGCGAGGGAGGTGCACGGCGCCCGGGGATTAGGGGAAGCAAGAAAGATGGATAGTGGAGGCTGAGGTGGGGAGAAAAACACCCATCACAGCAGAACCGTGAGGAGTGGTGGTTTTCCTCGCGGGATACACTGAAAGCAGTCGCCCAGGTTTTCTAGTCCTGCTGGCTTCCTACAGAATTACTTAGTGCTGAAGGTGTATCCACCTTCCTATCCTCAGCTCACTGTCAGGAATCCTCTGCACAGAAGAAAGGGGTTTGTTCTGTGCGAGTTCTGCTCCTGAGCTACATGTCTTTCTCCTTCTGCTGTTACGGTCATCTCCAGAGAAGCCCAGGAGACACTAAAAGACTACTTTTTCAGGCTGGTGGAAGGGATGCCTGGCTAAGCAGCAAGAGCAGATGTGAGTATGCAAAGACCATTTTCTCCTACAAGCATCTTTTACCAACAGCCAGACAAAAAGCGTTCAAAAACACTAACAACTTCTCTGAATTATTTTCTGTGGGGTCCTTCATGGCTCTGAAATGTCGGCATTATGCTTCTGTCCTCTCAGAGCTAGAGGAACAGATTAATTTTTACTCGCACCCAGAAAGTGCTTGTCCCTGGATACACAACCCACACTACGGGGTGCAAAAGCGTTGGGTGACCACCACCCCACTGTGAGCCAAGCCTGCCAGCACAGATCGTCTGCTGGGGAGACCGAAACCCCCTACAACATAGAGAGCTCAAACAGCCACAGCAAGAGGAGGACCACCTCCCACCACATGTTCCTCTAGCCTGCACGGACTAACAGCCAGGGGAAGTTTAACATCTATGATTTGTCTTTAGGTTCCCAAACAGGCCCACTTTGGAGGTGAGACGAGAGAAAACACAGAGCATTTGTCCTTGCAGGAACGCGGGCTTCGAGCGACTTGTGACAACTCCATCGCTACCCACCTAGCCTGACATTTGCAGCACCACCCAACCCAGGCTCCTGCGCATGGCTGGCGCTCTCACCCTCCACCCCAGGACTGGGTCTTGCATTTTATTGTCTTGGGCCATCTTCCACCCTCTCCTGCTTTAACCTGTCGCAGTATTTCTCTCCCACAGCAGCCAACTTCCTGCATGACTTGGACAATGGTGAGGAAGGGGATGATGTTATGGGGAGAGAGGATGGAAAATGCTGTTATGATTTTGCATGCAGTGGGTAAGGGAAGAAGAGGGCTGAGCAGCGCTCGTTTCCTTGGGCACCGAATGAAGGGAACTGACTGACTTCTCTCTGTTTTTCCTTGTGACTGTCTTTTCAGACCATTAATCAGAGGTCCAGGGAAGGGTTCAGGAAAGGAAGTCCTGGCAGTTCAGACAGGCAGAGGCAAAACACCAAAATAAAAGAAAAGAATAAGGCAGGCTGACAATTACGAACGTGATCTCTCTGCATGCAGACAATGCCCAAGAGAACAGCCCCAGACTATGACATACAGAGAAGCCAGAGATGCCAGAGGTATTGGAGGCAATGCCTATGGAGAGCAGGGCAGAGGCGGTCAGTCTCCCATCCAACAAGGACATTCCTCACTGCACACAGGCTTTGTCACCTCGCTCCGTAGCAATTCCAACCCATCAGCCCTTCCTGACACCTACAAACTCCTCATCTGAGTCTCTGCTTGGTCCTCTGCTTACTTTCCCCAAGGGGAAAGGGAGGGAGGGAACACCTCCATGGGACACCTTGAGACCAGGACACTGCGGTTGTGGCTTCAAAACCCAGCTAGAACCGTATGTATGTCTGAGCTGGGCTTGGGCCAGTGCTAATCCCAACCCCTCTGCCCCTTCTTTCCTGGAGAAGACAGTTCACCTGCCCCCTCGGCTAGCAGCTGCGGGGTTAGTGGAAAGGAGCCACCTCCCACCCACCCTCTCCAAGCAGGGGCTCTGTCACTAATGAGGACTCCATGGCCATGTCTTTCTTTAATGATACAGGCCCTGGCCCATGCTTCTTCAGAGGAAGATCCCCTAGAAAGTGACTGGCCCCGTCTCCTCGATACCCAGTGCAGGGTTTTCCCTTTGTAACCGTCTGCGTGAGGAATTCCTTCAAGACACTCGGCAAGCCTGGTCCCAACTCTGCCCAACTCCATTAGACATCATCTGCTCACGGAAACGTAACAGTTTGGGGAGATGGTAAGCCGAATAAAAAACGATTAAAATCCATCTTCTGCATCCATCAGTTCAGAGATCAGCCAAATCACTCGGCCTAATGCGGCCGCTCAGACGTAGCCCACGCCCTCCCCAATATCGCATGTGGTCCTCAGCACAGTTCTAAAATCAAAACAGCTCTGGGTTGGCTTTGACTTTGTGCCTTTTTAGGGTTTGGTCAGTTTGATTTTTGCCAACCCCAGTCTAGTCTGGTCCGCTCCCCCTTGCATGTGGACTGGAGAGAGGGACTCACCACAAGTTGAGCATTTTCAGGCAGCTACAGAGAGTGTAGAGAAAAAACACAGAAAGGAAGAAAGAGCAATTAGTTCACAGAGGTGGGATGAAAGCATGTCACTGCAGCCATGCAAACATGCAGTGCAGACTGGCAGACACACATCATGCCTGCCCGCCGCCCGCCCCCAGCCCTCATACCACCTCTACCCTTGCCATGGCGCCGCTGAGAACTGCCATGTTCTCCAGGGTCTCGAGGCCTATTTTCCATGAAGACACCAGCCCCATGAGGTTCTTCTCTGGGGCTGGGATCAGAAAGGGACTCAGGGCCACCAGGAGAGGAATCTGCTCTTGTCCCTTGCAGCTCCAGCGGCAGAAGGGCCAGATCATGGATCTACACTTGGGACCCACCCCTCAGTGAAACCTGTGACTGGGATCAGGAGCTTATCTCCAGCATAACCCAAAGCAGAAGCATTTGCACAGCTCCTCTGCCTGCCGGGAGTGCCAGAGAAAGCCCTTTCTGCTATTGCATCGTCTTGAAATACAGAGCCCCAGCTCCAGCTCCTTCTGGCTTTTTCTGGCCCACTTTACTGGAGAGCAGAATCCTTTGCCCTCCACATAGGTACCTGAGGGGATTTATGATCACAGATGCAAAGGAAGATGAAGCCAGCCCTCCCTGTGGCAAGAGGAATGAAGTGGACTACACTTGGGAATTACAAGAGACCCCGAACCTGTCAGTGCAAAGCAGCGTGTGCTCTGCTTCCCAGCACCTCCAAATCCAATTTGGGACCACAAAAACAATGGCTGGAGAGAGAGAACAGTTCCATGCGTCGTGAGACATGGCTTGGGCAGCACAGCCCCTGCACGCTCCTTTTCACCTGTCTTGACATCTCCCCTGTGCATGGGTGTAGGGTCTGGACCCTGGCCTCACTGAACAGAAACAGGCTGAAGGTGGACCCATAGTAAAAGCTGGCTCCTCCTTGCATTGGGTGGTTGTACCGAGAACTATTAAGGGTGGCAATTTGCCCCATCCTTCCTAAGCCACATGCCTGGGGCAGACCCATTTCAGTATGACCAAGACAAAGCCTGTGACACCAAACTGGTGGTCTCTGCAGGCCACACTACCCATATCTAAGAGGAATATTGCCCAATCCACGAGTCGCACCTCGAAGTCTCCCCCACACTCCACCGTACTTGATGAGGAACCTGCAACAAAACCAAGGCTCGCCCCTTTGGCTGGGAGGAGGAAGTGTATCTGTTGCTCAGGCACCTTGCTGCCAGGATCACGCCCAGGCCAGCTACCAGCGAGCAAGACCACACAGAAGTGCTTCCCAAGGGACAGACAGCAGAAGACCTTCAGGACAATCGGCACTGGCTTCATGCTGACGCATACCTAGGGACCTTTCCCCTCAACACGCCCTTTCTCACGCCTGCCAGTTTTCCTCTTCACCCTCCCACAAGCCACTCCTAACAGAAGTTCCCACAAAGGCTGAGACAAACAACGTGGGACAAGCGACACCAGTGTCAACCAGTCAAATTATAAACAGGCAGTTGGGCAACATCACGGCACCGACCAGTTCAAAGGCCTGTTAACCCTGTGTATGGGGAGTATCAGGATTACACCGTGATCTGCTAGGGTCCTGGTTTACTTCAGAGGCAGCGAGAAGGCCCCATGTTGAGGATCATGCAGAAGGTGACATGATGGTGCCAGATGCAGCATGTGTGCAAAGGAGGCCAAAATGGTCAAAGCAGCAACTTTGTACATCAGTTCTCACTCTTGACCACAAGCAAC